GCCAGGAGCTGCATCTGGGGGCCCCCGACGTGGGTACAGGGACCTGCTGCCTGCCAGGGTGCGCACACGCTAGGACCTGCACCCTGGGTGCCGGCAGAACCCGCAGTGCCAGGCGCCAACCTTGCTGGCAAACACAGGGTGGCTACCCTGGTCCTGCCTTGAGGGAGCGGGCGGGGCCTTGCGGTGATGGACAGCCCAGCGTCCTGCCTGGCGGCCAGCAGGGTGACCGCGCCTCCCCAGTGCTGGGAAACGGGCCCCGGGGTGACCGAGGCTGCACGTGGCCGCCTTTTCCCGTAACCGTCACCGCGGCGACGAGCCCGTCACCCCGTCTGGGTCACCCCTGGCGCGCAAGGACCTGCCTCGCTGCTCCCAACCCCACCCCCGCCCTTCATTCATTCCCTTTCTTCAATTCCTGCTAAATATAGCCGCCCGGGACCGATTTAGCCCTAAGGGACAAAAGGACCGTGCTGACCAGCGGTCACAAGATGCTGTTTTCCAGGCAGGGACCTCATGCGGCCCTCACGTGGCTGTCCCCACCACGGGTGACCATGATGCGGGGGCCCCCTGTTCACTGCCCCCACCAATCATGTATCGTCAGATTGCCTGGCTGCAGGGTCATTGCCACGTGGTGGCCTGTGACCCCATGGAGTCCCCATCCCGGCTTCCCAGGGACGTGTGTCCACACCCCTGCAGGGGGTTACGGGCAGGGATTTCCGTATTCGGAGGGGTGGGGTAGGAGGGGCAGCGTGGATGCTGCAGAGCCCCGCCCCCCCCAGCCCTGAGGGTGACAAGCACAGACTGTATCCAGCTGTGGTCCAGCATCCTCCCCCCCCGGGGGGCATCAGTGTCACCCAGTGACCTCTGCGTGCAGTGACCCCTGCCTGCAGGCTGCCTCAGGGGCCAGGAGCTGAGTCAGAGGTCAGCATCCTACCCACGCCCCATCCCTCACAGCTGGGATCTGGTGCTGGGTAGCCTTCCCCAGGAAAGTGACTACCCTGCCCTTGAAAACTGCCTGGGAGTCCCGGTGGGCATGTGACCGGACAGTCGGGCCAGAGGGTCTGGGTGCCACTCCAACTCCTCCCGGTTCGGTTCCCGGCTGCTAGCTGGCATGTGGGGGCGGGGCAGAACAGTGGACAGCATCTTTCAAACAAAAGCCTTCCTGAGTGACACAGCCACACGCGGGCTCCCTCCCTGCTGGGTGCACGGGGCACATCGTGTGGGGGTCGCTCGGTGTGCAAGTGCACCCAGCCCGCCCTCCTCCCCTCTGCACACTGTGTTCTAGAAAGTTCCACTGGAGCCAGGGCTGCCTGCACTATTTGTCCTGTAGACTTTTTATTGTTGGCAAAGGCTTATTATTCTTTTTTTTTTTTTTTTTCTTTTCCCTTTTCCCGACCCGGGAGGAGAGAGCTGGGAAGCTGCTGGTTCCGTGGTGTCCGAGCCGCCTGGCTCCCATCCCCCATACCAAGCTGCATCTCACGGGGACTGAGTCACTCGCCAGGCCGGGCCACAGGGCCCAGAGCCAGGACACTGCTGCCCTGTGCCAGGTGGGGTGCTAGGAAGGAGCTGGTGCTTGGCCAGGGCTTGCAGGAAGCTGCAGGGGGCTGTTCCCGCTCGCTCCCGCTGGGGTGGGGTCAGGGCTGATGGCTGTGGGTGCTGGTCAGCAGGATGCTGCCTGCTCCCAGGTCCCGTCCCACTCGGAGCACCCCACTTCAGTCACCTGGGCTCCAGCCCACCCCCACCTCAGTCACCTGGGCCCCCTCCCCCACCTCAGCCACCTGGGCTCAGTCACACTGGGCGGTGCCAGTCCCAGTGCCAGGCGCTCCCGACGGCCTCCCACGTGTGCAGCAGACCCTAGCCTTGAACCAGCACGTGCTGCCTCCCATGCCATCATCATGGAGCTGGATGGGAAGCAGAGCTGCTGGGCGCCAACCTGAACCCCTACAGGACGCGGGCGTTGCAGGGGGCAGTCAATCGGCTGCACATCATGGACCCTTTGTGTTTGGGGTGGGGGGCTTCATGCCGGCCTAGTCGTCACTCGGGTCAGCATCTCTAACCACAGGGGCTGGAAGCTGGGGACCCAGCTGCACCTCCGCCTGGCCCGGCCGGCTTCATTCCTGGCATTCCTGCCGCTTGACGCAGCGCTGCCGACTCCCGGATGCCTGGGCTGCCGGCGTCCTCCGTCCTCCGCTGGGCTCACTCCGCAGGCCAGCCAGCAGGGGCCCTCTTCCAGCTATGAGAATCACGCTTGGAATTCAGAGTCCAGGCCGGGCCAGCAGCCGCTGGGTTCACCCTCTTCCCGTGCAGCCAGAGAGCGCCAGGGGAGAGTGGGAACCAGCCCGGGAACCCCTCTACAGCCACAACCCCGCAAAGCCTGGGGCTGCACGGCCCCGTACGCTGGGGGGAACCTGTCTCACTGATACACTCTTCCGGGTGCTGGGCCAATTCCTTAACTCAGTTCCTGCTCCTCCCTACCCAGTGTCCCCAGTTTAATTGGCAGGTGCCTGGCCCGGGAATGGCAGTGCCCATTCAGGCCCAGTGTTCTAGACATGCACGCATCCTGGAGGTGAGCAAGGCATCCCAGCTGGGGAAGGGTGGACGGCGGCCTGGGCTTCCGGTGGACTCTGGGAACGTAAGATTTATTTCTCTTTATTGGAAAGTCAGACATATACAGAGAAGGAGAGACATAAAGTTCTTCCCTCAGCTGGTTCGCTCCCCAAGCGGCCGCCACAGCCACTGAGCTGAGCCGATCCAAAGCCAGGAGCCCAGAGTCTCTTCTGGGTCTCCCACGCGCAGGTGCAGGGTCCCAAGGCTTTGGGCCGTCCTCCACTGCTTTCCCAGGCCACAGGCAGGGAGCTGGATGGGAATAGCATAGCACAGAATAGAATAGCATAGCATAGCATCCCATGGGATGCCGGCCCTTCTTTTTCTATTTATCATTAAATGGTTTCATCAGCACATTGTTGAGCTATATAGTCAAGCAAGCAGATTTGAGGCCTGGGGCAGTAGCCTAGTAGCTGAAGTCCTCACCTTGCATGAGCCGGCATCCCATACAGGCACCCAGGCCACTGTGCTCCCTCCAGCGGTTGTATTCTTATTTATTGTTCTAAGTTCTTAAACAGAGGGGCCCTGATCCTGGCATGAGAGTCTAGGGGGCCTAGAGGGTGGCCTGGCCGCTCCCCCACCCTGACACCCCCACAGCACAAAATTCAGGGTGCCATCCCAGTGTCATCCCACTGTTTGAGCCAACCCCTTCAGAGGTGGCCCAGCTCTGGAAGAATCAGACAGGGGGCTGGGGGCTGGAGGCAGCGGGAGAGAGGCTGGCCTGGCCCCAGGGGTCTTTGGATGCTTAGCCCTGGTGGGAGGGCGCTGCTGCTGTCTCCCCTGAACAGGAGGTGCCCAGAGTGGCATCCCTGCCGCTGGCTGTGCTTCATCCTTGGTCTAGCTGGACAGGTGCCCCCTCGGGGGTCGTGACGTCCTTAGCGAATGCTACCGTGGTCCCCCCGTCCCCCCAACAGGCCTGGCAGGCTCTGCAGGAGCTGTTGTTCTCAGAGCCAGCTGCAGGGAGAGTGTTGGACTGCATGCAACCCCGGGCTGCCCGGCTTCTGCAGCTTTCTGAGGCCACGTGGGTCCCCAGCAAACCCAGCCAGCCGCTGCTGGTGCTGTCACGTGCCTCGGTTGGGAGACAGCGGTGTGTGCGCGTGTGGGTGCACGCGCGGGCGTGTGTGTGTGTGTGTGTGTGTGTGTCCGGCTGAGTCAGCCCGCCTATTTTGCTGTGGTTGATGGAATGCTGTGTGAGTCAGAGCCAGGCAATGACAACGGCAAGATGGGGACGCTGGGGTGGCCGTGGGGGCCAGGCCAAGGCCATGAGGGCAGCTGGTGTATGCGTCTTGGCCTCTCGGTCCCCCTACTGTGTCTGCACGCACACGTGCAAATGAGCAGGCACACAGGGGTACATCAGACACGCGCACACACGTATCTGTGAAGGCCACATGCAAGCCTACACGCGTGGGCATGTATCAGTACACATTAGTACCTACACATGCAGTGGCATGGACACCTCGCACCTGTGTGCAGAAACACACGGGGACACACATGTACACTGATCCACACACGTGTGTGCTGTCTGCCTTACACACGTGTCCACTCACACACCATCACACAGACACGTGCAGACGCTCTGGCCTTTGCATCCTGCCCCGGGCGCAGAGCCTGCGGCCCTCGGAGGGGTACTGATGGAGCTGGGTGCCACTGCTGGAGACCCCGGTCCCAGAGGAGAGCGCACGGCCCCAGCCGCGTGTCTTTTCAGCGTTGGGTGACTCGGGGCTTTGCAGGCCCAGCCTGGGGTTGCCAGACTTCCTGTCTTCAGTCGTGGGAAAGTTCTGAAAAACCCAGAAAGCCAGGTGGAGCTCCTACATCTCCCGGAGTTTCTGCCCGGCAACACCCACTCACCCCCACCGCGTAGCGGCTTCTCTCAGAGAAACGAAAGTGAAGGCATCTCCGTGCATGGCCCGGTCACCGTCAGCCCTGTGACAGGGGCTCCACCCAGGCTCCTGAATGGGCACAGCCACCCAGGCTGCAGGGCCTCACCTGGGGCCATGGGTGGCTGTATGCCTAGGCCTTGGGGTGTCCCTGGCGTGGAATGGAGTGGGGGGGGCGCACGTGGCTGGGCAGGGTAGGGTAGGGCCGTTTGTCTCCCCCCTACACACACACTCTCTTGGAGCCAATGCTTTTGTTTTTCCAATTCCCTGGGGTGCCCTCTGGCCCTGGTCCCAAGCAGGGGCCCTGGGGGAGCTGAACCCCCACCTGCTGGCCATGGAACAGACATCAGTACCCCCCCTCCACGCCCCGTCTGGGGTGGAGGGACCAAGGAGGTCCCCTCGGAAGAGACAGCCCCTCCCTGGCCCTGCCCCACTGATGGGGGACCCTGGCCAGGAATTCATGCCCTTCCGTGTCCCTTGCAGTTCCTCTGCACGCCAAGGGCCCCAAGCTGATGGCTCAACATGTCTACCAGTAACAATATAGCCCAGGCCCGGAAGCTGGTGGAGCAGCTGCGCATCGAAGCTGGCATCGAGCGTATCAAGGTGAGAAGCCGGCTGCGGGTCAGGGGGCGGCTTCCCGGTTGTGACCCCCCCCCCCAACCCTCTCCCCAGGGCTGGGCCATCCAAGCCAGAGGGCGGGCGCTGCATCTGGGGCTTCCTCCTCGTGGGCCTTCACCTGCTGCTGGACTCAGGAGTGGAGCACCCACGCCTCTCCATGGACCACCGAGCTGGTGGGCTCCCTCCTGTGTCGCCTTCCTCACCCACCGAGAGGTTAGAAACCCCAGGACTGAAGGGACAGGGCTTTCCACCTGCCATGTCCCTGTCCTGGGCGTTTCCTGTCCCGTGTGGCCTCCCCCTGGCGTCCTTGGGTCCTGCCCGGCCCCGCCCTGCCCCTGGTCACGTGGAGCTCCCTTCCCACGTGTGGGCCACGGCATGTGCCACGGCAGATGACACGCACATGATGACGTGTACCGTGTAACCCCAGAGGGAAAACAGACCACACCTCCTTGGTCAGGACCGGCAGCTCCAGAAAGTTCTGGGCGAGGCGGACACTGTTCAATTTCACAGCACAAGGCCTTTTGCCAGATGGGCGTCCAGCGTAAGACTGAGGTGCCTGCATTTCGTTTCTGGGTACCCTGCTCTATCATCCAGCCCCAGGAGGCGACAGATGGCCACCCAAGCACCCTGGGCCCTGCCCACTACAACCCGGCTGGAGCACCTCGCTCCTGGCTTCTGCCTGGCCCAGCCCCAATATGGTGGGCATTCGGGTAGGGGGCCGGCAGGTGGGAGTCCCTCCCCCCAGGACTCTCTCCCCTCCCCCACATTGTCAACCTCTGACATAAGTAAAGATTGTGACACAAAGGTTGTAGCTTAGCTGGCTTAAGGACCCTCTGATGGGCGTGCAGCTCAGAATTTTCTGCCACGAGCCACCTCACTCCCCCACCCCATGGAAGGTTCAGACAGCCCTCATTGCCCCCGCACAACAGTGTCTGGGATCAGCTGGCCCCGCAGCTGCTCCTACCGGCCCTTGCCACCTCCATCACTGGGCCGGGGAGCATGCAGCCCACACTGGGAGCCGGAGGGAGCTGTGGGGCGAGAGAACAGGAGCCTCCGTGGAGTCTGGGTGTCCCCCGTGCCCGGCTGCGGGGACAGGCCTGAGTATTCAAAGCATTCCTTGGGGTTGAAGAAAGAGAAAGTCCTGGTTGAAGTGGTTTCCTCCTGCGAGCCGGTGCCAACCCCCGGCATGGCGGCCCATGACTCACCCACCCCCTTTGATGTCCGGGGAGCCCCCGACCGGCCCTTTCAAATTACAGGGAGGAGATGCAGTGAAGGCAGGAACCACTCCCCCCAAAGCAGCCACCGCAGCCCCAGGCTTGGGGTGCAGCCGGTGAGCCCAGCGGGCCAAGGCTATTTCCAGGGTCTGTCCGCTATTTCGGGCGCCGCCCAGGGTGGCTTCCAAGTCTAGGAAGCAAGCAAGGGCCCTCCATCCCTGTCACCAGAGGCTGCTGCCCACGGCTCTCCAAGTGGCAATTTTCGCCATATGTGGGCAGGCGTGTCGCCTGGGCTGGCCAGCTGAGCGGAGCCCTGGCGACAGCCTGCAGCCTTCAGCGGCTGTCAGGGACCACCTTGGGGTCGGAGTGGGTGGGGCTGCAGGTGGCAGAGGCGCCTGTGTGGAGGAGCCTGCGGCCAGGGCTCCTCCCCACGCTTACCACCCAGCGGGTACCCCAAAACCAAACTGGCAGTCACCACCATGCAGGGTGACCATCCCCCAGGCCCCGCCCTGTCCCCACACCGGGTGACCGTCCTCCGGGTCCCCTCATGCGGCAGCTTCTCACTGGCCTCTCTTTCTCTCTGCCCACGCACAGGTGTCCAAAGCCTCGTCCGAGCTGATGAGCTACTGTGAACAGCATGTGCGCAGCGACCCCCTGCTCGTGGGCGTGCCCGCCTCCGAGAACCCCTTTAAGGACAAGAAGCCATGCACCATCCTATAGCCCCCCACCCAGGCCACCACCCCCTGCGCCCCAGCCCCAGCCCCCGGCAGGCCCTGTCGGCCAACCGTCTCACCCAGACCCCCACTCGGCGTCTCGTGGGGCCTAGACTTCCTAACCATGTGCATGCCGTGTCCCATGTGTGCTCCCCCGGGAAGCAACGGATCTCCCCACCCAATGACACAGCCCCCTTCTCTCGGCCAGGACCCCGCAGCTTACCCACAGAGGCTCCTGAGCAGGGGTAACGGCCGGGGCATCCCGGGCAGGCTCGAGTGTCGCCCGGAAGCAAGCAGACTTCTAGAACCCAGCAGTGATTGGAGGGCTTGGCACTGGCCCTGCTGACCTGGCTGGTATGGCAGTCCTTGCCCGGCCACTGGGCTCCCTATATACATTTCAGTCAAATCGGGCAGGGCCTGATCCAGTTAGCTTTTGGGTGGGTGGGTGGTGGGGGGGAACCAGCCTCTCTCTTTTTTTGCAATTAAGGAATCAGGATGCCACAGCCTAAGCCAGCTGCTGCGCGGTTGGCCGGGGGTCTGGGAAGGGGTCCTGGCCCCAAGCTCGCTCCCTGGGGCCCAGTGTCACTGTCCGCTCCAGCATGCATCGTCCCCGCCAGCCCTTCTCTGTGGACACAGTCCACCTCAGACACGGGCCTGAAGGGACCCGCCGCTGGTGGAACGGGCGTGGGAATGTCCATCAGTGTCTAGCGGGGCCATTGCTTGCGTGGCTGTTCGGAGTGGAACCCTCCCAGCTCCAGCCCCGCACCCTGCTTTCCTGGGTCGAGTGCTCCTCCTCAGGTGCATCTGGGGGACCCTTGGACACACGGTCCACTCTGTTCTCCCTCGGCTGCTTGGACCCTTCACCTACCACCGTTTCCCACCTCACTCTCAGTCAGGGGCAGTAAGCAGTGAGGTGCCAGCTCCCTACCCCCATGCCTGCTGAGGGGCCTGGCAGCCCAGACGCCTAGGCATTTCCCCCCCCACACACACACACACAGAGCCCTGGACATGGGCTTCCTCGGTCGGGAAGACACCATGGGCCCCGCGTTGGCCCTGTGACCAGCAGGAGGAGGGCAGGGCCAGTGCCAGAGCCAGAGGGGCAGTGGCCGCAGGTGGGACAGCCCCCAGCCTCACCTTGGGCAGGCTCCCGATGCTGCGGCCTCAGGCAGCTCTGTGGTGCCATCCCTCTCCGGCCGGTCCGGGAGGGCCAGGGGCTCCCGCTGAGCCTGTGGGTTGGACCAGGAGCATGACCTGGGCTCCTGGCCACCATGGCCCATTGTGGGCTTCTCCGTCACCCCTGGCAGGAGCCAGGTTCAGGAATTGTAGGGTGCCCACGTTGTAGGGGCAGATGGGGCATTGGGAGCTCCCCTCCACAGGAGCCCCCACCCCACTCCCCACTCTTCCAAGGAAGCCTTAATGGGGGTGGGGGTGTCACATGGCTGCCCAGCCTCCCCCTCCCCCCGCCCCCCGCCATCTGGGTCCACCCTCCATGACTCCCTGCTCTGTCTGGGAAAAGGGGGCATAGCTGAGCCCAGCCTCACACAGCCCCTGGTGGCCAAGACTTCCATGCCATGCTGAGGAGGGGTGGTGTGGCTAAACTCCAGCATCTAGGTAAACGGAGACGCAGGTGGAGGAGGGACGGGCCTGCCTTGCCCTCCTTGCACCTGCTCAGCCCCCGTGTGGACTCCATATGCAGGGTGGCATTGCCCAGAGCCGAGGCAGGTCATGCTCACAGGGTCCTCCTGGCAGCCAGCCGGGGGGTGCAGAATGGGTTTGAAAGATGTCACCAGGGCAGGCAGGGCAGGCAGCTGTGGCCCAGAGGACGCAGGGAGTGGGACAAGGGTAATTCCATTCTCCAACCTTCCACAAGGGTGCCAGGTGCCACACCTGGCTGAGCCCCACCCCATCCAGTCCTCTCCTGGGCAAAGGCCGCCGGCAGCCGTGCCCCACCCCCAACACAGCAAAAAGCCGGGATGTGCGCCCTCCAGGCTCTGGGGTGACCTCTGACCTCCGGAAACAGTGGAAGGTGCCAGCCTGTCTTTGTTCCTTTGTTTTTGACCCCCTCCCCCTCCCGCCCTGGCGAACAGCCGCAGCCCTGCCCCAGCTTTGCCGTGGAGCAGAGGGGCTGAGGGGATAGGAAAAGGCGCCTAGAGCCAGGCCCTGGGAGGGTCTTTGGACACTCTGGGTCGTCACACCACCCACCAAGCCCCTCCTCTCTCCCTCCGGTCCCTGCGGGTCACGCCCTGTCTGATCTGCATCTGAGCTTCCGGTCCTTTCAATTTCTGATTTTTCTTTTAGACGATCCCGGGTGTGCCACGTGTGTGTTTTACATGAAGGAAGTGCACACACTTCACAAAACAAGACTCTGAGGCTCCTTTGCACTGGCTCCGGGCCCTTCCGTCTGTCTCCGCTGCCCCACACCCGCTGCACACAGCATGGCCAGGCAGGCAGCGCTGGGGTGCAGAGGGGCGAGGCTTTGGGCCCACGGGGCCTGGGTGCGGGGTGCATGGGCTCTGGCCTCAGCACATGCCCGAGTGTCCTGGGGTGATTTCTTGTTGCCCGTAGAAAATACCCCATCCCTCTGAGAAAGATCTTCCACCTGCCGGTTCACTCCACAAGTGACCGCAACAGCCAGAGCTGAGTCGATCCGAAGCCAGGAGTCTCTTCCGGGTCTCCCACGCGGGTGCAGGGTCCCAAGGCTTTGGGCTGTCCTCCACTGCTTTTCCAGAGTATCATTCAGCAGGAAGCAGGGGTCACCAGGGACCCCGAGTATCTGGGCCACAACCCCTCCTACATGCACTAGATTTTACTCCACATACAGTGACCCAACCTCAGCCAGTTCAGATCACCCACGACCTGGCTGCTCTATTTCCCATTCAGCTGCCAGCTGGATGTGCCCGGGCCTGGCCGCAGAACAAAGCCCAGGAGCTTGGGTACCTGCCCCCATGAGAGAGAGAGAGCTGAAAGATGCTGCTGTGTGCCAGCCTTCGGGCACGCGGGGAAGTAAATCAGAGATGGACACGGATTCTCGTATCGCTCTGCCGGAAAACAGTGACAGCAGGGCCGTGGGCCAAGGATAGGTCACCAGCGCCTGGGTGAGTCACTGGCCACAGGCCTGTGAGGTCAGCCCCATCCCACACGCCACCACACGTCGGGCCAGCTGCTGGCTGTTCCTCCCACGGGCGAGGGACTCAGCTCCATGAGGCCCTTCACTCGGTGGGAGTGCCCGACGCCTCAGGAGTCCACAGGGACAGGAAACAGGATGGGACCAGGAGAGGCAGGGCGGGGCACAGGACCCAGCCATCTTCAAAGAGAACCAAGAAAAGCTCCTAAGAGACTGCGGAGGCCTCGTGCCAGGGGGCAGCGGCCAGGCTGGACCACCATTCCTGAGACATTCCGGAAGGCTGACCACTGTGCCGGGGACCACGTGGCCTCACGCCGGTTGGCCCCGCTTCTTTTCCACAGGGACCCTTTGGCGGCTGTGGCTGTAGGGATGGTTGCGTGGGGGTGGTTGTCAGATGGCAGTCACGGGTCCCAGTGAGCTAGGGACACATCGGTAGACTGGCAGGGGATAGCAAGGTGTTCCCCGGGTTGGGGGAACAGCTTGTCTACATTCTCCAAAACCCACCTATGGGCTGGCCGAGCCCAGGCTGCCCCCTGAGGTACGCTGTGGCCTGGCCCTGCTGGGCCAAGGAGGGTCTGTGTGCCCCAGGGAATAGACGCATGGGGCATCATGAGGACCCCACTTCCCAAGTAGAGCAGTACACCCCGCCATTTTCTGGTGTACTCCCCAGACGGCCTCAACGGCTGGAGCTGGGGCAGCCAGGACTCGAACAGGTGCCCCTAGGGGATGGTGGTGGCTTTTGGCACAATACCGACCCTGGGCCGGAGAGAACCGCTTGTCTCTGATCTGACAGTAGACCCACACTTGTGCCTGCCAACTCCTTTCTTGACCACATGTCAAGTTCTGCAGGTGACACACACATCCCTTTGTTTTTTGTCTTAGCTTTAAAAATTTTTTTTTATTTATTAAAAATGCAGAACAATATTAACATTGAAAATAAAGAACTCTTCATCAGCTGGTTCATTCGCCAAGATGGCCACCAGAGCTGGGACTGGGCCAGGCCGAAGCCAGGAGCCTAGAGCTCCGTCCGGGTCTCCCCTTGGATGTAGGGGACCGAGCCCTGGAGCTTTCCTCCGCTGCTCTCCCAGCTGCATTAGCGGAAAGCTGGGTGAGAAGTGGAGCAGCCAGGACATGAACCAGTGCCCATATGAGATTAGCCAATGAAACCATCGTGCCAGCCCCAGGGACTGCTAAATGTTTAAAAATTTTTATTTGAGAGAGAGCAAGTGAGCCTCTGATCACTGCTTAAGCCCCCACAAATGCCCACAGCAGCCAGGCATCCAGCCCTCACTCGGCTCCCCCATGGGTGGCAGGGACCTGCACCTTGAGCCATCCATGTTGCCTTTCAGTGCCATCAGCGAGAAGCTGCCCAAGTGGGGAGCCAGGGCCACAGGTACCAAGCCCAGGCATGGCGGACTGCATATTCCAGCCATGGATGAGCGGCTCAGCAGGGGTGCCCAGTGCCCACAGGCCCAGACACACGAACTGGCACGTTCAGGGCTGACAGGCCCCTGTGACTGCCTCCTCCATCCCGGCCAGGGTCCTGAACCCTCAGCTGATGGGGCCTGACACCCAGGGGTTGGGAGGCAGAATATGACCCCGGCTCACCCACGGGATGAAGAGTGGTCATCCAGGGTCTTTCTCGGAGGCAGCGAGAGGTTCCGGGTCACATAGCTGCTGGAATGGCTGCCCCTGGAGACCGAAGAGCCAGGAGCACCAGAGGAGCTGGGACAAGGTGCCACTGGGAGCCGCCATGGCCCTGGGTCACCTCACAGCCCCGAGTCACCCCACAGCCCCCACATGGTCACAGCCACAGCCCTGGGCCACAGCCATGACCCCACATGGTCGCAGCCACGGTCTCAGGTCTTGGCCATGGCTGGATC